AATTTGAGTTGCCACACTTGAATTGATAAAATATTAGTCTAAAGTGTAGATTAATTTACTAATATTCTCCCTGTTGGAGCGTATATTTTGGCCTGAGAGTTGACTTGTGGGGTATCCGATACCTTGCCTGAATTAAATGCTGATAAGACTATCAAGGTGTGTGGTCATGGAAGAAAACCAAACAGTATTGTTAACGGACAATTTTAGCTTGAGTACCCATTATTGGCCTTTTAGTTCAGGCAGATGTCAACTTTGGCAAAATGTTTATAGAGTGATAGGAGCAATGTGATCCAAGGATCTTCTGGCTAATCCAGTGATCTTAGGGGCCCTTCCATTTCTCTCTTCAGTGCACCTGTACTGAGGCCAGACCACCATGATGAGGCACCCCAGGGAATGTGTCCATGATATCCTGGGTTTAGACACAGCCTTGCAACATGTAATTATGGATAGGGACAGCTCCTTATTGAAGGAGAATATTGCAACAAAAGCTGCTTTAAATTTTTAAAAGTACAGAGCTAAGATAGGCCTTTCTGGAGGCACACCTAAAGAGCTGCACAGCTTTGCTTTCCCTGGAGAACTAGAGTAGAAACTTTGACCTCACTGCTCTTAGAACACTGCAGGGTCCACACCACAGTCTGCACTTTAGGAATGGGTTATATAATGCAGGCAGCAATGTAGAGTAGCCTTGCGGAGTATAGCAAAGAACACAAATGATACCTGCTCGTCATTATAAATGGGCCCCATAGTGCAACCTAAGAGGAAGCATGTACAGTACAGAAGATGGAAAGGCAGCTGCCTCAATACCGAACCTGTCCTAAAATTGTGACAGGAGTCACAGGACCTGTTGGTTTGATACTGACCAGCCCCTCACATGCTCTTCACATTCCTGGGTTCTTATGGCTATGGTTGCCCCGCTGCTTTTTATTCCTTGCTCTGGCTGGCCATGTGACTGGAGAGGGAAGGAGGAAACATTGCTATCCTGTTTCCTCCAGCAACCTTCTGCTCCTATTGCTGTCTCTTCCTTGATGTTACTGCTGTTGTTTGACCAATTTGAGAGGATTGCTCATGGATCTTCGGAAGATTAAGAGCATCCCAGGACATATGATACAACTGTCAGAGGACCAGGAGAGAACCCTGAAATATCAGGGGTCTTCTGGAATTTCCCAGGAGTCTTGACAGCGCTGCTCAAGGTGTAGAGAGGTCACTCTCCATGGAGAACTTACAGCTTTGCCAGGAAGCAGCTACAAGTTAAAAATGGCACTCCCCAATCCCTGAGAGGTAAAGTTGCAATATTATAGATTCAGATTTTCACCAGTGCCCATTATGGTTTTCTTGTCTCGGGTGTAAGCTCAGATTGCGAAGAATCCTTTTTTTTTTTTTTTTTTTTTTCCTTCTGCTCAGCATAACCAGACTTAATTCTGGCTGTGTATCTAAAAATACCACACAAAAGCTGGCATCCCCACTAGGTACAGAGCATTTTATGCCCTCTAGTCAATGTCCTTAGAGGATGACCGCATCTACATTTACTCTGTATATATCCCAAAAACCTGCATTCTCTGCTCCTGTAATGGATAGTGTCTGCTGAAATGGTTCTTGTTTCCCATTTTTGTTTCTCTGTTCCAATCTGGCAAACAGATTTTCACTAAAGGTGACCTGCATTAATGGTTGCAATGGTGTCAGCAAGAATTGCCACTAAATCATCTTTATATGCCGCCTGTTGGACAACACTGAAAAAACGCACAGCCTTGTACAAAGGTCACTGTGCTTAAATAGACCTCACTGTTGTCCATCTTAGCGCCAGAGATTTAACCTCTTGCCTTCTGCACAACACATCTGCAGTGGCAAAAGGGTGGGCTTCAACACTCACATGTCCCAAGCATGAGCCACTGGGGGGCTGATGTTTCTGTGCTGAGCACACTCAACTGCATGATCCAGCACAGAAAATGAGCCGTGAAAGACAGTTCTTGGTCCCTGCTAATTATAGGTACCTGGTGGAAGTGGCTCCAAATCATGTAACCACTGTGACAGCACATTTTTTAAAGGGATGTTGGGTGTGTTAAAGGATTTCTGTCATCTTTACATGGTGAAGTGACCATGTTTATAAGCAAGGAGTTTTTTTTTCTTCTTGTTTTAAGCCTAAGAGCAGCTAAATTCACAAACCTAAAAATCAGCACAAGGAACATAACTCACGTTCAGTAGGATGTGTCCCTTTATCCTGTTTTTCCTCTGGTCATGAAAAAATCTTCCTCCATCCTGTCCTCCACCCCAACTTCCATAGTCTGAGGTGGTGGAGCTATCATCAAATCATCCTCTATTCTCTGAAGATCCTGTTTAATTTCTAGAATGAAGCAGCTGTGTGGAAGGGGTGGGCATAGTCAGGTTCCCTTGATGAGTCTGTGACAGCCCATTCATTGTATTGACCACCACCACAGCAGAAGATTATGGCGGTGTGGGAGGGGGGCAGGATGTAGGAAGATTTTCACTAAAAAGAGGAATTGTTGCAATGTGTCTGTCTTACTGAGTGTAAGTCCCTTGTGCTGGCTTTTGTTTTTTTTTTTTCCCTGCACTTGGACTTTAGGAATGATCTAGGTATTGAAGAACACAGGAGGAAACAGCTTAGTGCAAATTAGGTGACATCCCTAACCACACATCCAAAATAATTTTGTCTCTTTCCATTCTGCTTTAAAGAGCACCTGTCAGAATTACGTAGGGTGCCATTTTTAGAATGTTTGTTAGTTCCCTGGCTGTTCTACTGAATCCTGGCTCCAATGCTTTGAGTCTCTCACCTGGGACAAACGTGTATAAGTAATTCTGACACCCATCTATAGGATGCTTATTGCAGGTATGTGGCTCAAAAGCCAAGCAACTAGTATTTTGCAGAGGTGGCTACTAATGTGGTGCTTATGTTTTTGTTCAACTGATGTATGATTGTTAGAGCATAAGAATGAGGCAAACTAGTGATCTTCCACTGAGAAAAATCTGCATAAGTACCTGAATTTGACCTTGAATTTGCCACTTGCAATCCCCAGTACATGTACTGGAAAATTTAGAGGTGGCACAAGGAGCCAATCAGTTGTGTCATAGTGCTTGGAACATTCAAAGAGAGAATCAAGTGACAGAGAGATGAGCCCATCAGTCTGCTGCTTCTCATTTCACTGTTACAGATGGGGGAGGGACAAAACCTGTAAGCATTGCCTAAAATATAACTAAAAGCAAATCTTTTTTAGGATTTTGGTAGTGAGGGATTAAAACCCCTGTCACATTTTTTATTGCTGTCTGTGTCCTCATTGGGAAGATTGACTTTGTCCTGATCACTAGTGTGACCAGTAATGAAAGTGAGGGTACATCCAATTATTTTGAGTTGCCACTAGAACAAGAATGTAGAGGAAGCCTTCTGATGAGGACACATTGGCAACTGTCTAAGAAGGAATTTCCCTCACATTGGAATGCTATCCTCACACTCCTGTTGTGTCTACAGGTCAGGAAATGTAGGGAAAACCCACTGAGACAGATACCAAACTTTTTAACCTTCCCCTTACTCTTTAAAAAAAAATACTCTATACAAAAACAAACTTTTAAATTTGCTGCCATTTCTTGTCTTGTTAGGTTATATTTCTACTGGCTCCTAAAATGTCATGTAAATCCAACAGAAAATGTAATTTTCTCCTCACCTCTGCCAATTGGACTGTAGAGAAAATGATTTTGATTAAGCATATGAAAATAATGCAGTCCAAAATGTAAACTGATCCTATAGTAAATCATGCCCCCATAACTGGAAAAAAAGACCACTTTTAAAAAAGTGTAAAGTTATGTGCAAGCCTAATGTGTTTAAAAGTGTGCATATGCTTTAATACAATTTGTAAATCATTTATAGTGTAGTTAAAGTAGAAATGAAGTCAAAATGTTTTTATTTTGGATAGAGTAAGGGAGGGTTATAACTCCTGTTAGTTTTTTGCCATCTGTGTCCCATTTGGAAGATTTCCCTTCACTTCCTGTCCCCAGAGCGAAAACAGGAATTGAGAGAAATCCCTGGGTGCCCCCTGGTAATCCCAGAACTACTGTTCCCCTCCATTCCTGGGAATTTTTTCACTTTCAATGGTAATGGTAAACAGGACAAATACATTGGGGCACAGACAGCAATAAAAAAACCTGGCAAGAGTTCTAATCTCTTCCATTCTATGCTTTTTTTTATTCTTTAAGTGGCCCTGTGAAGAAGGAAGTGCAAGAGTTTCCATTGCTGTCATTCTGATCCTAACTTCACTACTACCCGCTGATCAAGAACAAACATGAACATAGGCTTGTTGGCTTTAAGTCCTGCTTGTTTGTTCAGGTCAGTGACTCAAATGGTGTTAGGGATAATAGTTATTCAGCCTTCAGATTAAAAAAAAAAAAACAATCTCGCTTTGGCAGCTACCATAATTTGATCCTCACAGGATGTGGCTACATTGTGCCTGCAACCTTTTCCACCCACAACAAAACTGCAACATAATTGCTGTTTTTATATAAAAATGACTTTGTCCTAGTCATGTACTAATTTACATTTACACCAAATTTAAGGTTTGTATAGATGAGTAAATGCAGTGATGCACTGAAGTGCATTTAGCTACATTTACAAATTGCTTCTCTGATTGTTCACATGTGCGTCTGACCTACTTCTAAGTAGCATTGAGCTGCTTTTACATTCCAATTGAAGTGTATGGGGGGAAAAAAGCAGTTCTGATGAACAAATGCCCATGTACTTTAGCCCTTGGAAAGATGCAAAAAAGATGGTGGAGGTTGAATATAAAAGAAAAACATAATCAGGTATCACATATGGTGTCACATGTAACCCCCCAAATCTTTCAGTCTGGCTAGCTAATCTAATGACAAGTCCACAGCATAGAAAGCATTGCTTGCTGACTCTTGTTGCAGTTGGTGTCTCTAAGCCTACAAAAATGCTAGCTACAGTCTTGTGTGAATGGGCATAGCAGGGTTTGCCATTGTGACATGTCTGGGCCTACCTAATTTTTGCATGCATGCACGGAGCCTTTCTTCAAGATTGGACACTCTGCTCTGCAGTTCTTCGTAGTCATAGGCGCCAATCTCCTCCTGAAGCTCGTTAAGAACTGACGTCAGATTCTGGACCTCCTCCTTAAACTGCAATACCAATTTGGCATCGGCTTTGTACTCTTCCAACACTGGTATCAGAGGCCTAAGTTCCTCCATTTTCGCTTTTATTGCCTGAAAGGTTAAAATAAGCTGGTTCAGTGCCATGCATGCAAAACTTGGCAACACCCTGACCTGCCTCTCTACTCTACCCTGTCTACTTGCCTGACTACCTGCCTGCCTGACTCCCAACCACAGTGACATTGTGACCTCCCAAAAAGGGCAGTGTGAGCAGTGCACTGTAAAATACCATGTTAAAAAATGTCAGTACAACTTATTTGGGAAAGGCCTTTATTAATCATTTTTTTTTCAAATGCAACAACTTATGGTTACATGCTTCTTTTTTTTTTTTTAAAACACATACACAAAGGTTTTCTTTTTCTTTCTTTAAATAAAAATAGAATGCATTGACAAGGGTTAAAAATTCTTCATGAAATGCAGCTACATTTGCATGCAAAGGAAGATTGAATTTCAAGGTGTTGAAGGTTCCTTAGTGAGAAAGCTTTAATTGGGAGAATAAAGAGTAAAAAGTAAAAAAAAAAGTAAAAAAAAAATGAAAAAATAAAACGGCAACAAAAAATAGGGGAAACAAAAATTAAAGTCTGGTGCCCCAACTGCTGTGTGTCTTTCATGGTAACATAGGAGTTAACTGCCTCTTCAGTCACTGCAATTTAAGTTAGCCCTGTAAGCAAGAAAATGAAATACCATTGAAGTCTTTGTGCACTAAAACTGCTTGAAAACAAGATTTTTCAGAAACAGATGCTCGTTTTATTTATTAAGGCAGTGAAAAGAGCATTGATGGTTTCTATAAATCTATTTGATTTTAGACTTCATTAATTAAGTGTATCTACAGCCAAAACCCTTTTGTTCAGTTTTGGACAGAGAGAAGAATGATAGGAGCCCCTGTCAGGTATTTTTGCTGTCTGAGACTCCTTTAGCCTTGCTTCACATATGTGCAGGACTGCTGCTAAATCTCACAGATTCCCGCAGCCGTACACAAAATGTGGTGCTGCATGGAAAACGTGGGGGGGGGGGGGGCTATTAACTCTTAATGACTTCCACACACTGAAAATCACAGCGCGGTTTCCAACACACGGAAGTTGCATGGTGCAAAAACAGCATTTGATTTCCCTGCGGTCACATTTTAAAAAAGGGGCACAGATCTTTTCCTTACAGAAAATGCAGACACAGCTGCACATTCAAATGAATGAACTGCTGTGCCCATGCCCCCGCAGCATGCACAGCTGCATATATGTGAACTGGGCCTTAGTGATTTCTCATCACTCACTGCTCTGGGGACAACCTTTCTCACCACACAGGATGTGAAGGAAACTGCCAACAGCAACACAGACAGAAGTGAACATGAGCTGCTGACTTTTTAAAAAACAGCCACTCACCTGCCCTAGGATCCAGCGGTGTTCTCACTGCAGCCAAGTTCACTGGCCGTCCTGTGTCCCCGGCGCCGGGTGCCCACTGAGCATGCGCAAGCAGCGCTGCGCATTGTGAATGGTCCTGCAGTCCTCTGGGACTTGCCATGTGTTCCAGAGGACTTTGGGGGAGGGGAGGAGAACTTCCAAGTCCGATTTGTCTAAGCAATCGCAGCAGAAGTGGGAGCGGGTACCTGTCAAAATTGGGTACCTGCTCCCCAAAGGTGCCAATTTTTAACGGGGGGGGGGCGAAGTCTTAAGAACTTCTCCTTTTCGGTGGAGCTTCACTTAAAGTAGGGGAATGCTAGACTACCTTTCGGCATTTCCTGTCTGCTAAAATGTCCCCAGAAACTAAAGGAAACGTATCTTGAATTAAACCCCAGATAGCAGTAAAATATAACGGGTCTAACATTTTCCCATGCTATCCAAAACTGAAAAAAAATAAACCATTTTAGCTATAGTTACACTTCAATCAGTCACAACAATGTAACACAACTTACTTTTGTTACCATTATTTCGGGGGGTCCTTAACTGCCCAATCCCATGCCAGAATTTTTAAGTCCAGTTAGAAGCTTGAATCAGGACCAAGCCTTTTAGGGTTTATAGGATAAGTTCATGTTTTTGGAACATTACTTGTTCCGCCCATATTTCGGATGGAACATGTTTCGGTTCCTACCACTCAGTGTGATAGTGGGCAGGGGATCTTTTCCCCACATCCACTGTCACAATTCAAAAACAGCGCAGCCGTACAGGGCTCTGCCCACACGGCTGCAGTTTCCTGTGAATGAATGAACTACAAGTACTGTCAGCCGCTGTGGCAAATGGCTTGTAGTTCTGAATGAACTGCGAGGATGCTGATGAGCGTTCTTTTAGTTCATTCACAAGCCCTGCAACTTTCAAACTGACAGCCTATATGGAGGTATGGGCTAAAGGTTGCAGGGCTTGTCTGTAGAAGCCTGACATTGCACCCCTGTTTTGCTCACAACTGGGAAACATTTGAATTTGTGGGTAGCATATTATATAGGATATCCTGTTCCTTGTGATTGTCTGCTGACCGCTTTTAGATTACTACATACAGTATATGTACAGCATTACACCTTGCTCTTTGCCTTAATAAATAAAGTATACTTTCCTATTCTCACTAAGTAAAAGCACAGTGCAATCTTAGTTTTAAATAGCACTACCCTTTTCAGTTCATAAAGAATCTCAATAACCACATAATATGCTGCATGCAATATAAATTCAGATAATGACTTTCATATACAATGTTAACAAGAAAGTATGGATTTTAATAGCACAGCTGTTCTAGGAAACAAACATTTGATAAGTGTGTATATATGTGTGTGTGTGTGTATATGTATGTGTATGTATATATATATATATATATATATATATATATATATTATTTAGCTATGATGCCCCTGCCATAAGATATGGCGCCAGCAGGGACACTGAATAGAGCTGGCCTATCCTCTTTGCAATCCGTGTGAGTTTCCTGACATTTGACTAAATGTAGTGTGTGCTTTTATGAGTTGACTAGTAGGCTTGGAGAAAGGACTGGTGGGAATGTACTCCGAAAAGTGCTGCAGAAGGTATCACTATAGATACAATAACCACACACTTAATGAAGCCACCTGTTGTACTAGTTACGATTATCTCCAGACATGCTAACAATCTATTAACTTAGAAGGATGGGACTTAAAATGGTCATTTTGATGTTACCACCATGAGATCACATTTTGGTGAGTGAGATTTCCTGCCACTGACTGTCACACACCATGGATATGATACTATCATCTAGACCAGTGTTTCTCAACTCCAGTCCTCATGGACCCCCAACAGGTCATTTTTTCAGGATTTCCATTATTTTGCACAGGTGATTTGATCAGTTTCACTGCCTTAGTAATTACCACAGCTGTTTCATCTGAGGGAAATCCTGAAAACATGACCTGTTGGGGGTCCATGAGGACTGGAGTTGAGAAACACTGATCTAGACTCACACAAAACCAGACTTGGGAAACAAATACTTGTCTGCTTGTAAGCCATTTTACTAAATTCTGGGATGTCATGTTGAGGGACTCAACTTTGAAAACCTTTTATTAGAATCTTGAAAACTTGCAATTACGGTACCTCTAAATATTAGTATTGTACATTGAATAACTGTAACTTAGAGTCAACATATCGGTTTTCTCTCCTAGGAAATGGATATGTGATAGAAGAAACAGTTTCATATACTTATAGAAATGTGTACAAAATCTTATTATGGACTATACCAACAAAATAGGCTTTAGTCAACAATATACTTATAGAACAATGTACAATTCTTGACGTTAGAGGTAACTTAATGGAAGAAGCACATTTTCCCTAGGAAAGAGTCCTCCCTTCAATTCTAGACCTGTCCTTCCTAGCATAAGATGGCCTCACAATTTATCATTTGGCTGTACATGTCCATGTTTGTCTTACGATCACCATACAAGTTACAATCTATACAATAACTTTAGATTTACCAAAGCTATGTAATATTTGAACCTACCTAATCTAACCAGCCAATCTGCATCCAATCAGGTAGACAATCCCCTACATATTTTGTAGATCATTAGAGTGGAATTTGTGTGGTGAGCTTTAAAAAGTCAATGTTGCCTTGTCCATTTAGGGCAAAGTGACAGTGTCTTGGCAGTAGCTCCCCTTTCCCCCAACCCGATACTCACCTTTCCAGTGCTATCTCATCACACCTTCCTCTATTACAGCCATCACTAAAATCTCTTGTGATGGCCGCTAAGGGGAACAATGATGGCCATTCTTCCTTCAGGTAACAGTGCTCAGGCCTAGCAATTGGCTACTAGGCCTCAGCACTGGGAAGGAGGCCACACAGAGTATGGTCACCAACTGCGAGGGATCACTGGCAATGTAAGTATCAGGGGTTTAAGAGATTGAGTTGTGGATGGGGCCTTTACAAAGGCACTGTTGTTGAAAAGAAAATATTCGCACATGTTAGTCTGATCGCACAATTGTCATTATTTCCCAACAACTATGTAGTTCTATTGTCAACCTAAACAGTACACTCAGTTTATCTCCAATCATGTCCTTCACAATGACGCAGTCAAACTGTGTATGTAGCCAGTTTTAATACTGAGTAGCACAGTGGCTGAATAGTTAGTGGCCTTGTAGCTTTAGGCTTCTGGTCTGCGTTTCAATTAGGGTTCAGGGTTCTAACTTCACAAAGTTACTTTGTTTACTTCTATTTGTGTGGATTTCATCTGTGCATTATTTCCCCCTCACAATCCAAAATGTGCGGAGAAGTTAATTGGCTTTGACCTAAACTGTGTGAGCTTCCAAAATGGTGATAGGAACTGATTATATGTGCTCTGTTCTGGCTATAAACTATACAATCTGAATATACTGATATAAAGCTATGTTATAGGAGTACACTTCTAAGCAATCCAGTTGTATCAAATCAGGCAGGCCTTTGTATTACATAGTTAATGTAAGGAGATGTCTACAATTAGATTGTATAGTACATGGCCAATATAATATGTGCCAAAAAAGTGCAATAATAAAATTTAGTCGTGTAGGCTAGCCATACACTATACAATTTTCCGTCCAATTTCTGCCCAATTTCCTTTAGACTTACCTTCAACAGTATAGTGC